GCGGCTGCCAGCGGCGATCCCTGGTCCCGAGCGAGGGCGGTGGGCACTGTGGGCGCTCGAGGGGCCTCGGCCTTGTCCTCATCGTCCTCATTGCTCTGGTCACCATCGTGCTCGTCGATCTTGTCGATGTCGATGCTTTCCAGATCGATCTCCTCATCATCCTCGGCCTTCTCGGGGTCGCCCTCCGTGTCGCTTCCGAAAAGGGCGCCGTCCTCTTGGTCCTTGCTGCGTGCGCCCCAGGTCACCTTGTTCTCTTTCTTGAGGCGCCGGCGCGCGTTGGCGAACCAGGTGGAGACCTGCGTGAGGGTCATCTTGGTGATGATGGCCAGCATGATCTTCTCGCCCTTGGTGGGGTAGGGGTTCTTGCGGTGCTCGTTGAGCCAGGCCTTGAGCGTGCTGGTGCTCTCGCGCGTGGCGTTCTTGGGCCGCCCGGGATCCCCATACTGGAACTGGCCATAGGGATAATAGGCCGGAGCCGTGTGGGCAGCAAAGGTGGCAGGGTGCACCCCGGGGTTGTCCTTGAGTTCATACTGTGAGCCCTGTGGCCACGCGGCCAAGTGAGGGGGGAGAGAGAGTAGGGGTGGAGAAAGAGAGAAAGAGAAAGATGAATTCCCAGAACTAAAGGGAAAGTCAGGGGCAGTTGCTCCTGTGCCCTGTCCGCTCCGGAGCAAAAGGCCCCAGTTCACCCCCGAGATGGAAAGGGGTGGGGGTGGGGGGTTAGATCGGGGTTGCCTCCAGGAACTTCGCTTCCATAGATAGTGGAAAGCTATTCTGTAACCCAAGGAAAGTTCTAGAAGCCTTGCCTCTCTGGAAGGCCACAATCGGAGCCCCCAGCCCCTTTCAGTTTCTCCAGACCCTTCTCTGCCCCCACCCCCACCCCCACCACAACACCAGAAGCCCGATTTCCAAGTTTACCTCACTCTGGCTGGAGGGGAAAACCTTTTAACAAGTCCTATAAAACAGATTCTCCAAACCTGAAGAAGCAACAGCCAATGCCCCCACCCTCCATCCCTGAGGGGGTCAAACAAAATAAACCGCTTGGATTTTCTCGGGGCTCAAATCACCCAGCAATTTAAAATGAAAGCACGGCTCCTTTTTGCTTCCATGTTAATCTGCATATAATGGCTCACCCATAATTAAAGGTCTACAGTGGTGACAAGTAATTTAAAATTTTAATCCTGGCCATCACGAACAACAATAACAAAAACACCATTTTTTTCAAACACAAAAGAAGGGCTTATCGGTAAAATATTAACGCAATGGCCGCAGTGCCAGCTGAGAGGAGCGGAACCGGTTTCCTGGGCCTCTTTCTCCTACTTTGTCTCTGAAGTTTGACTTTGATCTGCAGCGAGCAACACAAACTGTGTGAAGGCATTTAGAGGCCCTGATTTATTTGCAATCAATATTCTTTTTATCATCAGTAGTAAAACACAGCTAGTCAAATTATCCCATCAGGTTTTTTGGTAAATAACATTTTATCTTTCTAACAACCTCATTAGGCCTCATTATTGCCATAAATTGCCCGGACAGATATTCCACTCACAATTTTATCTTTCAACTTCCAAAGCCCCAGTCCAGACAGTTTGGAAGCCTAGGCCTAGCATCTGAGTTCGGGTTTACGCTTCCTTTCCAAGAACCCACAAGAGACCACAAGGAAACACACCTCTTGAGGGGGAATTTCTCTACAGTACCCCCTTAGCAAAAAACCAAGCCTCTGCCTTCCCCGTGGCACCACAAGACAAGCAGGTTCTCAACCTAGAGCTCACTTCCTCCCCCACCAACACAAGGGGGTCCTAAATGACACACATCGGCATTCAAAATTTCTGTAAAAAATTATGATCCTCCACATATAATCATCCAGTTGCTATTCGCAGGAGAGGGTTCCAGACTGAGAAAGTTGTAAAGAGCAGAAGATTTCTTTGAGCAATTAGTTTGGTGGTTTATGCCACAGAGAAAAGGTTTCCTTGGCCAGATTTCGTTTTTGCCTCATCTTTACAAAATGTACTTTGCACGTTTCTAATGCTTTTGCGTGTGATTGTGAAGAAGACGTTGCGGCCTCTTCTCTGCTGGTAATTCTTTTTGAAAGGATACCTTGTAAATCTCTCATCGCTTGCTCAGTGTCCCTGCTGCCAGAACAAAATGGGAGCAGATCTTTTTCGATAGCCAGCGACCTGAAAGGCAGCTGGGGCCGCTTTCAGAGAAATAGGCTTTCTTTCCAAAACTACAAGAAAAAGTTAGAGGAAAACCCACCGCAACTTTGCTCGCTGGCTGGCGGGTATTTATTTCCGCTCTTCTTCAGGGAGTGGGGTGACCTCGTGGTGGGGGTGTCTAAAGAGCTGTCTTATCCCGCCCGCAGCAGCTCAGGAGGGGGCTGCTTCCCTGGCCCCCGCGCCCCGCATGCAGATCACCAGCAGCCCGACCTTGCATCGGACCAAGGAAAACGGACCCAGTGGATCAATAGACTGGCCCGTGCTCGGCAGAGCCTCCGCCCCCACATCTGACACCCACCGGGGCCGAAGACTTAGAGAACACCATTTATTTTAAGCCCAGGGACACTGTTTTCTTTAATCCTCCATTATGTAACCAAGGGAAAAAGTGTTTTTCTTTTGGTGCAAATGAAATGAAAACTTTGGCAACTTACAAAAGTCAAAGCAAACACCATTTTAGACGCCAAAAATATTTCAACTTAATTTTTTCCTCAATCTCAATTTTGCGCACACACCATTAAGAGACCCCATGGGCCCCACGGCCCGCCCGTCCGATCGCCATTGTTACGTTGGTTTTGACAGCATCTAACAGACTTTAAACTCGGTTACAACTGTGTGAGCTCTGCCAAAGAAGGAGAAACCACGTCTCCCCCGCCCAGCCCAAAGCCGGGCCGGAGGGGACTCCTGGGAAAGCGGGCTGAGCTGCCAGAGCCTCGCCGCCCGCCTGGCCGCCTCCACCCCGGCCGGGGCAAACTGGAGAGCTGGGC